ATTGTTTTGAATATAATATGAGTTTTCTTAATTGTTGAGATTTCTCAATTCATGAACATCATATTAACATTCCCTATTCTTTTATTCCAGAAATGTTAACTCCTCACAACCCGTTTTCATTTCGATATGTTCTTGAGAAAAACAAATTGAATGGATCAAACTTCCTCCAATGGTATCGAAACCCGAGAATTGTTCTCAAGCCATAGTTTAAACCCTACTTGGAAGATCTGAAAAGTAAAAAGACTTTTGAAACATCGTCTAGGGGTATTTATGTTATAGAAGTAAATGTTACTACTTTTGGTTCTACTTCTTGGGTATTGGATACCGGCTGTGGTGCTCATATTTGTACGAATATGAATGGCCTAAGCAACAGTAGAATTTTGGAGAAAGGACAAGTGGACCTACGCGTAGGAAATGGAGCAAGAGTTGCTGCATTAGCCGTGGGGACATTTCATTTGTCTTTACCTTCAGGCTTGGTTTTAGAACTTAAGAATTGCTATTATGTGCCTGCTATAAGTAGGAACATTATTTCCATTCCTTGTTTGGATTTGGAAGGATTTCATTTTTCGATTAAAAACAAGTGTTGTTCTTTCGATCGTAATGATGTCTTTTATGGTAGCGGTCCATTAGAGAATGGACTTTACATTCTAGACCAAAGCATGCATGTCTATAACATCAATACCAAAAGATTCAAGTCTAACGACACGAATCAGACTTTTCTTTGGCATTGTCGTTTGGGCCACATAAATGAGAAACGCATTCAAAAGCTTCATAGTGATGGACTTTTGAGCTCATTTGATTATGAATCATATGAAAAATGTGAATCTTGTTTGTTGGGTAAAATGACTAAGGCTCCTTTTACTGGACACGGTGAGAGANCTCTTCGATCTGATCGGGGTGGAGAATATTTGAGTCAAGTGTTTAATGATCATCTGAGAGAATGTGGAATTGTTTCACAACTCACTCCTCCAGGAACACCACAATGGAATGGTGTGTCCGAAAGGAGAAATCGAACTTTATTAGATATGGTTCGGTCTATGATGAGTCATGCAGATCTTCCACCATCTTTTTGGGGATATGCTCTAGAAACATCTGCGTTCACGCTAAATAGATATCCATCAAAGTCAGTTGAGAAGACACCATATGAGATGTGGACTGGAAATGTTCCAAATTTGTCTTTTCTGAAAATTTGGGGTTCTGATGCTTATGTAAAACGTATGTTTACTGATAAGCTTGGACCCAAATCTGATAAATGCTACTTCGTTGGTTATCCTAAAGAAACCAAAAGTTATTATTTTTACAATCCCAGCGAGAATAAAGTGTTTGTTTCTCGTAGTGGTGTTTTTCTAGAAAGAGAATTTCTTTCCAGAAAGAACAGTGGGAGTAAAATAAATATCGAAGAAGTTCGAGGAACACAGGAGATTGCTTCGTCTTCTCAGGAAGATGATCAATTAGATTTACGAAGAGTCGTAGAATCTACACCTGTGGAACATGAGGTGCGTAGGTCCGAAAGGACACGTCACGAACCTAATAGATATGGGGTTTGGGTGACGGATCATCATGATCTATTGATAATAGAGAGCGATGAACCTACGTCCTTTGAGGAAGCTATGATGGGCCCTGACTCCGATAAATGGCTGGCAGCCGCAGAATCCGAAATGGACTCCATGTCAATAAACAAAGTATGGACTTTGGTTGATTTACCTAAAGGCGTTAAAGTCATTGAGTGTAAATGGGTTTTCAAGAAGAAAACTGACATGGATGGTAATATACAGATATACAAAGCTAGATTGGTGGCTAAAGGTTACAAACAAATTCATGGTATTGACTATGATGAAACCTATTCGCCAATCGCAATGCTTAAGTCTATTCGGATTCTCCTAGCAATTGCTGCTCATTATGACTATGAGATTTGGCAAATGGATGTGAAAACAGCTTTCCTTAATGGAAATCTCGAAGAGGATGTGTACATGACACAACCTGAAGGTTTCACAGTCCCTGGAAGTGCTGAGAAAGTATGCAAGCTTCAACGTTCCATTTATGGTTTGAAGCAAGCATCTCGGAGTTGGAATCTTCGTTTTAATGAGGTAATCAAAGAGTTTGATTTCATTAGAAATGAAGAAGAACATTGCGTTTACAAGAAGACTAGTGGGCGCACAGTTGTTTTCTTAGTATTGTATGTGGATGACATACTTCTCATTGGGAATGACGTTCCTATGCTTAATTCTGTAAAGACTTGGCTTGGAGATAATTTCTCAATGAAAGACATGGGAGAAGCTGCATATATTCTTGGAATAAAAATCTATAGAGATAGATTAAATAAGACTATTGGATTATGTCAAGATACTTATATCGATAAGGTCTTGCATAGATTCAAGATGCATGATTCCAAGAAAGGCTTCTTGCCAATGTCTCATGGCATAACTCTTAGCAAGATGCAGTGTCCTTCAACACATGATGAGCGAGAGCGGATGAGTAGAATCCCATATGCTTCGGCTATAGGATCTATCATGTATGCCATGATCTGTACTCGTCCAGATGTTGCGTGTGCTTTGAGCATGACGAGTCGATACNGTTAAGACTATTCTTAAGTATTTGAGAAATACTAAGGATAAGTTCTTAGTATATGGAGGAAGTGATGAGCTTGTTGTGAGTGGCTACACTGATGCCAGCTTTCAGACGGATAAAGATGATTTCCGATCACAATCAGGTTTCATCTTTTGTCTTAATGGAGGAGCGGTGTGTTGGAAGAGTTCCAAGCAAGACACCGTAGTAGACTCTACTACCGAAGCTGAATACATCGCTGCTTCTGAAGCAGCAAAGGAAGCTGTTTGGATTCGGAACTTCATTGCTGAATTGGGTGTGGTTCCTAGTATCTCTAACCCAGTGGATCTCTATTGTGACAACAATGATGCCATCGCACAGGCAAAGGAACCTAGATCCCATCAGAAGTCCAAACATATTCTAAGGAGATATCATCTCATTCGTGATATCGTCGATAGAGGAGATGTGAAGATTAGCAGAGTTTCGACGGATGCAAATGTTGCTGATCCGTTGACAAAGCCTCTTCCACGGCCTAAGCACGAGAGTCATACTACTACTATAGGCATTAAGTTTCTTAAGATGTGATCTTGATTCTAGTGGGAGATTTTTCTTTTATGATATGATGTTCATGTTTACATACATTTGGTTATGTTTTAAAATTAATGAAATTGTTTCAGATTTATTTTCTTATTGGATAATTAAATAAATGTCCCAAAATAATTTATATCATTCTTCTAGGTCATCAAGTACGTGACTTGATCATGAAACCCTATAAGTGAAAGACGCTATAAGTTATTGAGGTCCCTGGTCAAGGTTGTTAACGTGGGACATTAATAACCGAGAATAACTAGTATGTGAGGTGATTGATGACTAAGTTTCATGGAGTCATTCAATATGTGGTATTGAAGTCAATCACATGGATATGTGTTAGAGAACACATGATCGGACTGACCCGCTAGTGAGAACTCTGCAAGATTGTTATATGAGTGTCATAAGAGTTTCTCATTACGACTATAGAGTATAGTCCTTAGACCTGAGTTCGTCATGATTCTTTATTGATGGATTAGTTCACTTTGACCTTGTCAAACGTCAGCCGTAACTGGTGATTATAAAGGCATTGATTAGGTGTTCTATGAAGTTTGTAAAGAACATGGATGGAACAAGATGGGATTTGTTCCTCCCATATAACGGGAGATAAATATCTCTGGGCCTATCGAAGATTTGATACTGAGAAATGCATGGCCATGCTCAAACGAGGTGAATGTCAGTCGTTTGTTTTATCAGTATAAATCAGAGTTCGATAAACATGATCTAGCTCAATAAGGATGACACTAGTTCTTGCCTTATGCTGAGATCGAGATATAGAGACAAAGGGATTATAAGAATAGATGATTCTAGTATAAGTGGGAGATTGTTGGGAATGTCCTAAAATCATTTGTACTTACTCTTGGTAAAGTTGTAACGTCGAGGTTCGACAATCGTATAAAATTAGGTGGTTATAATGTTTTGCTAGAAACCGCTTATAATCTATGAACAGAGAATTCATTACTAATATTATATGATCCTAAAGGGTCACACACCTAAACAAACTAGATCAATATTATTTGGGGTTTAAGAATGATATGATATTATATATGTTATATGAGATGTAATATATATAAGTATGCATATAATTGATACATATAAATATGTGAATGTTCAAAGTACAACACATGCACGTAGGTGAAGAGAATATTGTATTCTTATTTACTTTGGGCTTAGCCCATAATATATGTGCTTACGTTAGGTTAAGTCCATGTTATATAATGATATAACGATGAGACTAATCTGATGATGAACTAACGACGGCAAACCCTAATATAATAGAGACAAAATGTTTGTCAAGTTCTAGAGATCTGATCTGACGGCACTAGCATCCCGTATCGATCTAGTTTGTGTGCGTGTGGATACCGGTAGAGGCACAACGTTTGGAGTGCTCGAAATCTCGACTTGGTGTATTCATCTTTCCGCTGCGAATAACCAGGTATATTCGAAACCCTAAAGATCTAGATTTATTTTAGTATTAACATGAGATTCTAGGAAAACAGAATTCATAGGTTGTTTTATAAATCATTATAAACCGGTATGAATTCCTACACTAATTATTCCAACTTTTATAAAACGTAAAGCAGAAAAGAAAATTGACACAGTGGCCGTATTGAAAGGGTAACAACGAAATATATTTCAACTCGGCGCTGGCACGTTAACGCCTTGACGAAGACTCTATATGTGAACATGACGATGACTTGGATGGTCATTGAATTAGTCATTGAGATATGTCCGTAGATTCATTCTGTGAAGGAAGTGACTGGGACGGGCTAGTAGATGAATCCTCGACCAAAAACAAATCTCTTATTCACCTATATATTTTTTAAGCAAATATAACAATCCCTAACCTCCATTTCGTAACAATTATAATGAAAAACATTGCAAGTATTTTCCTCTCTATTTCCCTTCTTTTTCAAACTTTCAACGGAGTTAAAGCCGGCTTCCTCTGCGTAGGTGACACCTTCCTAGCCAACAGTAGCTACCGCCAAAACCGCGACTCGCTCTTCTCTTCTCTTGCTTCTCAAGTAATCACCAACCGTGGATTCTACAACGCCTCACTCAATAGCGTTCACGCTGTTTCCCTCTGCAGAAGAGGATACGAGCGGCAAGCTTGTATCAACTGCGTAGAAAAAGCCATTCGACTGATAAAAACAAGTTGTTCTGATAAAGTGGACTCGTTCAATTGGAACGGTGACGATGCGGACCAGGTATCTTGTTTTGTACGTACAACAAACCACTCAACTTTTCAGAAACTCGAACTTGGACCAGCTACGCGTGACGCAAGTAACCTCGATATCGACTCATCCAAGAACATGACCCTCTTCCGCCAAGAATGGGAAGCGACCGTTAACCGAACACTTGCTGATGCAACCGTCAACACTTCCGCATCGGTTCTCAAGTATTATGGAGTAGTTAATGCAGAGTTTGTGGAGTTTCCAAATGTTTACATGATGATGCAATGCACACCGGACATAACTTCAGGCGAGTGTAAGAGATGTTTGGAAGAGTGCGTTACGTATTTTAGAGATGTGTCTTGGGGAAAACAAGGAGGTACAGTTGGTCGACCGAGCTGTCTTTTCCGGTGGGATCTTTATTCTTTTTACGGTGCTTTCGCTAATAAAACAAGAGTTCCTGCCCCTCCTAGACCTTTGATTCCTCAAGCACAACCAATATCTCTTACTAGTTTGAAAGGTTTGAAAAAATACGAGTCTGATGTTCATTGCCACCTATTTAATTATCTGAGATTTGCATACATTAAAAAATAAAATGTTACAGGAAAAATTGTCGCGATAATTGTGGTTCCTACCGTTATTAATCTTTTTGTGCTTCTTGGTCTGATCAGAGCTTATCGTCAGATTAAGAAATCGAAAGAAGAAACTAGTGGTATGCTCTTATTATTTTCAGGTCAGCTTTTATGATGTATCTGTGCTCATAAGTTTCGTTTGGTTAGTCTGTACAGAGGATGACTGCATATCCGATAGTCAGTTTATGCTGAGGTTCGATCTTAGCATGGTCCTACTCGCAACCGGTGATTTCTCTCCTGAAAATAAGATTGGGCAAGGTGGATTTGGATCTGTCTACAAGGTAAAAAGAAGTTGTATAAAATCATTAGATGGGTCAAAGATCTTATCGTATGAGAATTGTTTTTAGGGGATATTACCGAGTGGGGAGGAAATAGCTGTAAAGAGATTAAAAAGAGGCTCAGGGCAAGGAGGGATTGAGTTCAGGAATGAGGTCTTACTCTTGACAAGACTCCAACATAGGAATCTAGTTAAGCTTCTAGGTTTTTGTAGTGAGGGAGAAGAAGATATTCTTATCTACGAGCATGTCCCTAATTCAAGTCTTGATCACTTCATATTCAGTAAGCCTTTTTGATGGGAGATATATGCTGCATTTTTTGGAACTATAAAGTTTTAGTATTGATGATTCTTTTGAAATCTGCAGATGAAGAGAAACGAGTGCTACTAACATGGAATGTAAGATACAGAATCATTGAAGGAGTTGCTCGAGGTCTTATTTATCTACACGAAGATTCTCAGCTGAGGATTATTCACCGAGACTTGAAGGCGAGCAATATTCTTCTAGATGCTGAGATGAACCCTAAAGTTTCAGACTTTGGGATGGCTAGGTTATTTAACATGGACCAGACTCGAGGCGTGACAAGGAGGCGCGTTGGAACCTTGTAAGTATAGGACCACATAACAATTATGATTGATACGAAATAAAACCGACTGAAATTAATGATATAAACTATTAATTATAAACAATAAAGAAAGCTTATTTATTGTTTATATTTCACAAATAATACTAACTCGGAGTCAGAATTTGATCAATTTCAAACTCAATAAGTATGAATTGTATTAGACTTGGATGCTCTATTTCTTACATAGATACTAATGAATATTATTTTAAAATAGACATTTATTACTAGATTCTTGATATTAGGATAAGGTCCATAAGGATTATCATTAATATCACTTCACTTCAGAGATTGTGGATTAGATCACCCCTCATGTTACAGCTGTATGATTGCAGTGGCTATATGGCTCCTGAGTACATTAAGAACGGAAGATTTTCAGCCAAAACAGACGTTTACAGCTTTGGGGTTGTGCTTTTGGAGATGATCACCGGCCAAAGTAACAAGAACTACTTTGAATCCTTGGGGCTACCCGCATATGTAAGCATATATGATATAATTATCACTCCTTTCCTTACTTGACCACACAAATGAGTCTCAAAAAAATTACTGATTACTAAGTATATGTATAGGCTTGGAAGTGTTGGGTGGCCGGCGAGGCTGTGCGTATCATCGATCCTGTCTTGAGTAGGACCCCAACAAATGAAATCCTGAGATTCATCCACATTGGTTTGCTGTGCGTTCAAGAGAATGTTGCAAAGAGACCAACCATGAGTTTGGTTATTCAATGGCTTGGTAGTGACACTATCGCGATTCCTTTACCTACCATTGCTGCTTTCACCATGACGGAGTTGCATAGAACCGATGCAATGGATCAAGCCAAAGGTGAAGCTGGTACGCTGTCATTGAACAAGTTATCAGTCAGCGAGTTAAGTCCTCGTTGAATCGAAGACCTCTATGTAGACTCATACATACAAGTCTGCATTAAAAGAAAAAAGAAAGAAAATAGTGTGCATTAATCTTTTAATTACATTACAATCAAGAATATTCTTCTTTGTCTCGGAAAACTCTCGTTGCTCATGATCAGTAATCGATCAAATTGGTGTAATATAGTTGATGATGGTACGAACATTGGTATCCAATTCCTAAAATTTTGTTTCAAAATTATCTAAGAAACTAGGTAGTAACCCGCGCTATGCACGGGATGAAATAGTTTATTAGATTTTTATTGTATGTTATACTAAAGAATTTGTTGTATAGCTTTTTCTAGGGATGTGCATTCATATATCCATTCATATGATCAATTTGGATTTTAGAGTTAAAAATTTAAATTACATTCAGATATTTACAAAGTTTGGTTTAGATTTGGTTTGAACCATTTCTGAACAGATTCGAGTTCAGATACCCATTTTTTTGAATTAGATTCGAGTTCAGATACCCATTTTAATTATGTATTTTTAACAAAAAATAAAATATACTTAAATCTTCAAAATCTGAAAATAAAATAATATGAAATAAAAAAATGAATAATGTAAGATTAATTGTTTAAAATTACATAAAAATAGTTGAATTTTAATATTTGGATGGAGATAAAATAAATATTTTCAATATTTTGAACATTTTTCCCTGTTATTTTTAGATATATGTTTATGACTATATTGATAATTTTTAAATGTTTTCATATTTTTGAATATCTAATTAATATAAATTTAAAATAATTAACAAATTTAAATATATAAGATTTTCGGTATCCAAAATATTTTAGTTTGGATTAATTTGGATATGTTTATTTGGATATTAAACTTTAGATCCATCTAAGTACTTAATTAGTTTTAGTTTCTGTTTAATATTACTTTGAAATCTAGTTCAGTTGGTTTTACAGATTCAAATATTTTACCCTGACTTATTTTTTTATAATATAAAGCAAATAAAATAAATTTAAAACAAATATTTCTGGCTTATTTAACATGCGTAATTATGGGACTATACTTTAATTATACCAATTAAAAGGTTGGCCATTATGTCAGTATTTTTGGGCATATTGCAAGATTGACGTAGTCTATAATCACTTATGTGTATTTTCTTATAATTTTTTTTTGGTAAATATAATAAAACACGATACAATCGAGTGGAAGATATTATATATGCGTGAAAATAATATGATCTCTACACTCGGCATGAGAATTCTGTTTTTTTTTTCAAATCGATTTCATCAATCTTCTTTTTAGGCTTTTCTAATTTTTTATAGTAAGTTGATTATGTTTCTTGTTTTTGGTTAAATGTAGAAAATTCTGTAAAGAAAAATAATATTTGACTGAACTTAAGATCCGACTTTGTATGTGTAGTATTTTTTACCTCAGTTTTCTTAATTCATAACCAATTACAATTATTTATTACATTCGTATACAAAAATCTCAACCCTGGCTAAGTTGGATAATATATGAAACTTTCAATTTTAAAATGATGTGAATCTTAATTATTTTGTAATTTTTTAATTTCAAAATGATATTTTTCAGTAGTTGTACGGATGCAGAAGTTAAAAATAATCCCATTAAAAAATTAGTATAAATATATTAAATTCTCTTTGGTAAAGTTAAAAATTAGAATATGAATGTATTTATTGTCAAATGATTCTGAGTCGCCACGTTAGCATACTCAAACTGAAATTAATGTGAGATTGCCACATGTCCAATGTAGTGTGAAAGCATTAAATGACAATGTTTCTCTTTTAATATATAGGGGATTAATTCATAACGCGATGCTTACCATTTTTTGCGACAATCATTTTTCCTTTTCAAATCCCTTTCATTTATGTTGGAGTTTATTATATTTTAATTTATATTATTTAACTGGATCGGATAATGAACTAAAGATAAAATCCAAGGTAATTTTTCTGATTTCTTATTCCCAGTTCGAAGTTTACTGCAAGAGAGACATATACGAAATTATAGTCTATACTAATGGTTAAATTAGAAACAGCCAAATCAGGTTTGTTTATTCCATACATTTATACTTATATTCATCATTTATTTACTAAGGAAGAACATCTTCCATTAGTTGTGATTGATCTCCTCATATAACTTCGTAACAAACTAAGATAATTTTTCAAATTTTAAGAGTTGCTCTGATTAACTCTTTACTCTTTACTACCCAAATAACCATTCTTGTTTTAAATTATTAACAGATTTGGGATCGGAAAGGTACTAAACGCTCCAGATTCAAAACTTAGTTACTAAGAGCATCTTTAACGTCTGTATGTAACAGGGTTTTTAAAGGGAAAAGCACTGGTGGAACCCAAAAAATAAGAGAATACGTTGTCTACTTTCCCAGAATAACAGACATATGCTGTGGGTTTTTTGCATTGTTTTGCGGGTCTCACGACACATGGCAGCCCACAATTGATTCTTTTTCAATTTTTTTTATTAAAAAAATCAGATAAATCAAAAAAAAAAATTTAAGGGACAGCGTGAATATTTAACTTACATGAAGAATAACCGGGGTTGCACATCGCCGATAAACCAGCCTCGTAAAATTAGTTTGGGTTTCGATCTGGAACACCCTAGATCCATCAAAAATATTATTAACTGATTTTGTGTCAGTTAAATATTTTAGTTCGGTTAGCAACCAATCCCACTTCTAGAGTTCTATACTTTATAAGTATTGTCTCAGTTACCTGATTTAATGGTCGGACGAGACATTACAGCTGCAGCATTCATCTTCTTACCGATCCCATCTCTCTTCTTATAAATAGTACTGGGAAAGAGGATTCGCCCGCCTGATATGTGCATGTCAGGTTAACATTTTTTTATAAAAAATATTGACATGCATAACTCGCAAATAAAAGTTTAGAAAATTCATATCTCCACCACTTGAGTTTGGGGAGATTACCACTATAAAATCCCCAATATATTAATTGAGAAACATTTGAAAAGATGTAACCTCAAGTTTGTATTAATTAAAAAGTAATCTTGCTTAGTTGTCAATCAATTAGCATACCAATTAAACTAACGTGGCAGCTTTAGGTTCAATTGAAATTTGCTAGGGAAAAATAATTAGAGACGCATATAACGCATGTAACATAGTTTATATATTTATATATATCGCACGCATGTAATGGAAGAAAAGGAAAATATACGATTTGATAACGATTTGCATATATTAACTATAATAACTTCATTCCTTTTAATTTATGGAAGTGTATATGTAAAATAGAAATTACTTTGTGACCAAGTACATACTTAATGGTAAAGGTAAGTGTATATGTAAAATGTAAAACTTAATATGTTAACTTGGGAATTTATGTTAAACTTTCGATTTTTTCGTATAAGTTATATTTTGAATTTTTAAAAACGAGAATAAATAACTAAACTATTAAAATTATTATGTTAAAAATTAATGATCAATAGTTTAACATTTTTATTATAAAAAGATATACATGATTTTAAAACCATNTACATAAATATTTTAATTTCAAAATTTTCAATAAATTTTCAAGAACATTTATAAATTATAAACTTATTAAATTTTTCACATTGAAAATTTTTGTTATCAATGATTTAAATATCTTAGTTCTTTTTTAATTTTATATTTTTAAAAGATATTAACAATCGATAATATGGTTAGTTTTGGTATATACCTTACAAACCGAATGTATGTGATTTTATAAAAACCATAGAATTTGGATATGGTTGATTTATAACCGATTAAACTGAAACATGTAAATATGTATATATTTATAACGACACATGAATATCTATTTGTTACATGAGTTGAACTATAATTATATTTTGTAAATAGCTAACAATTTATTACAACTGAGACTTCTTATTTTGATCTTTTGCTTTTTTAACAATAACTAAATTGAAGTAAAGATTATAAATTTGATGGACAACAATTAATTGAAATTCTTTACAATTTTTTTATCTTTAAACAAACAGAGTTGTGTTCAATCAAAGACATATTGGTTTGATGAACACTAAATATGGAAGAATATAAAACTTTTCTTTCATGCTTCTGTTTATTTTTTCAAAATTTAGTGTTTTGATATTAATTCTAGATTTGATCATTTTATTAGATGATAGAAGCTTTTTTTGTTTTTTTCTTTTATTTAAATATATAATATTTTTTTAATAAATGACCCCGTGGCAATATGACTCTAAATATGATCATATTATATATTTGTATAATATATAATATGATCTCAAACTAAATAATTATGTTTTTGGTATAAAATTGAATAAACTGAAAACCGATGGTATATAAACCAAATCAAACTGTAGTACATATAGATTTAGAATAGTAGTTATATTTTAATGATCGAAATACCAAAAAATCGGACAAAAAATTGAGCCGAACCGAAACCCGATATCCGGATTGAGCACCTATAATCCGAATGAAACCGAACTATTGTTTCATTTNTACATATAGATTTAGAATAGTAGTTATATTTTAATGATCGAAATACCAAAAAATCGGACAAAAAATTGAGCCGAACCGAAACCCGATATCCGGATTGAGCACCTATAATCCGAATGAAACCGAACTATTGTTTCATTTTTCAAAACATAATAAAAATAATAGCTTCATCCCGCGCAAGGCGCGGGTCTTATCCTAGTAATAATTAAAGCTAAATTTTAATTGTTATATAATTTACTTCAAATATTATTCAATAATATAAAATAACTTTTTTAAAAGAAAACGAATTTTAAAAAAAATCATTTTTAAATATTTTTTATATATTCAAAATATTTAAAACTAAAATTCGATAAATACGATTTTTTAAAAATTAATTTGGCAGATTGACGAATATCCGATATGCATCCACTTCTCGCATCCTAAATATTTGACGCACACCCGCTCGGCGGCAAGTGGAGCGAAACCCGCGGTTTTTGAACAAAATTTCCAGCCTTACAGACATATCTCAATGACCATCAACGTCATCTGC